CAGACACGATTGTTGAAGATTGTTCGAGTCCTATACTCTCTGAAGGAATAAGGAGCAGACACGATTGTTGAAGATTGTTCGAGTCTTATACTCTCCGAAGAAATATAGAGCAGACACGATTGTTGAAGATTGTTCGAGTCTTATACTCTCTGGAGGAATATGGAGCAGACACAATTGTTGAAGATTGTTTGAGTCTTATACTCTCTGAAGGAATAGAGAGCAGACATGTTTACAGAAGATTGTTAAAGTCTTATACTCTTTGAAGCGATAGGGAGCAGACACGATTGATGAAGATGTTTGAGTTTATACTCCCTAAAGAAAGAGGGAGCGAACCTATTTTCAGAAGATTTTTGAGTTCTATACTCCCTAAAGAAAGAGGGAGTGAACCGGTTTGAAGAAGATTGTTCGAGTTCTATACTCCCTAGAGGAAGAGGGAGCAAACCCGTAAAAAGAATGTGTTCGAGTTCTATACTCCCTAGAGAAAGAGGGAGGGAACCCATTTGAAGAAGATGTTCGAGTTCCATACTACCTAGAGAAAGAGGGAGCGAACCCGTAAGAAGAATGTGTTCGAGTTCTATACTCCCTAGAGAAAGAGGGAGCGAACCCGTAAGACTAATGTGTTCGAGTTCTATACTCCCTAGAGAATAAGGGAGCAAACCCGTAAGACTAATGTGTTCGACTTCTATACTCCCTAGAGAAATAGGGAGCGAACCCGTAAGAAGAAGATGTTCGAGTTCTATACTCCCTGAAAGAAAGAGGGAGCGAACCCGTAGGCAGAAGATTGTTCGAATTCCTACTCCATAAAGAAAGAAGCAGCGAACCGAAGACAAAAGATTGTTCGAGTTCCTACTCCCTAAAGAAAGAGGGAGAGAACCCATTGGCAGAAGATTGTTCAAGTTCCATACTCTATGAAGCAAGAGGGAGCGAACCCGTAGGTAAAAGATTTGTTCAAAGAAGAGCGAACATATCACTCATCAAGTTTCAAAGCACGAAGGCGGAACTGGACAAAAAAGCAATGTCTTTTTTATCTTTGCCCTATTCTTGTTAACACAAGAATGGCAAAGAGAGGCAGCTGTAGACACCCGTTTTTGTCTGGGTTATAAATATTATATTAAAATTATATTATTATTATTATTATATTATTATTATTATTATTAGTATTATTAATGTTACATATTATATTTTATAGGATCCAGACCCGGTTACAATACCACAACCGAGCTGCCCACGTAAAATTTGCAACAAATCCACCAAAGTCAAAAAATCATTCATCCACCGAAAGTTTAAGCAACTTTCCAAGTCAAAAGCAAAATACCTAATCCATTACCTACCCTCACTATTCCTACTAAATGATGCAACAAATTAAGAAAGAAGGGAAAAGGACAAAATGGCATTCAATGATAAAATGAAGATGCAATTATGATAGAGAGAGGGGGTTCTCGGCCAGCAAAAACAAACCAAAAATTAAAAAAAGGCTCATCAACACGTGGAGAAAAATGATGTAAAGAGGAGGGTTCTGCTCCCAATAGTCGAATTAAGCAGTGTAAACCAAGGGTATTCCTCCCTTTTTTTTCATCAATAAAAAACAGTAGCAATTTCTTTAGGTATTGAGTTTCATTTTTAATTTCCAGTGTGTGGTTTGTGTGTGTGGATGTTTTCGAAATAAACAAGAGGGATTTAGGGTTGATTTACCTGGGGTCTTTTGGTAGTCACCAGAGTCAAGAAAATTTGGGATAGTGGGGGTTGAACGTCGGAAAAGGAAACTGAAGAGTCTAAGGACTTAAAGGTTCAAATCTAGGCTTGCAAGTTGATTATAAGTTAGTTTTTTAGATCTGTTTTTTTATAAAAAAAATAAAGAGTAAGAGTAATAGGGGGTCTCGATCTAACTTACCTTGCTATGTGAGTGTCCATCATCGGAATCGATGGTCCCAGGTCGCCGAAAGTGGGAAAGTCAAGGCCTTTGGTCATGTTAGGGGCTGTTTAGAGGAGGTCTCTTTTCCCTTTTGTTTTGTGAGAGTCGGTCGAGTGTAGAGTTTGAGAGGAGTGACTATTAGGTTTAGTTTAATATATATATTGGTAATTTTAGGGTAAATTAATGTTAAGTCATCGTGACCTTAAGGGTAAATTAGGTTTAAATCTTCCTAGGTTTAGCGCTTATTTATAATTTAGTCACATGTAGGGATTGATTTTGAATTTATTTTTTTTATTTGTCTCGATTTAGTTATTTTTCAGTTTTAGTTTTTAGATGTAATTTAGTTGGGTTATTTAGGTGTAGATCCCTTATTTTTATGCATTTTTTATTTAAGTATGCTTTAATTTTTTATTTATATGTTTAATCTTAGGTATATTTAAATTTAGTCATTATTTTAATGTGTATATGTGTATTTCTTTGTTTGGTTTTTAGTTTGGCATGTTAAGTTTTTGTTCTTGTGTTTAAGTCTCATTTGTACATTACATATTAATGTATATAGTTTATAATTTTAAATTTTAAAAGTATATATTTTTTATTAGAATGTAGCATTACATGATATTTTTATATATTATTTAATAGTTATATAATTATAGTATTTTGTTTAATTAATTATTTGCACGCAAGCCTATATGTATTTATATTAATTAAATGTTAATTATTAAGTTTTGACTTTTTGTTACATTATTGATTGTTTATGAAATTGGCATTAATAACCCACGTTGTGAATTCATGTTTTATGATATTATTTATATAATAATGCAAAACCTACCTCTTTTGGAGCTTTCCCATTTCTGCCTTGAAAAAGCTAGACCATTGCCTTAAGATTGATGTTCCTTAAGATTGATGTATGTGATTAGCATGTATATATTATATCCTTAAATGTTATTTTCAAAAAATATTGATTACATGTTAGTATAATTTTAATAAGTTTTTTTAGGGTATAGTTATATGTATATTTTAGACTAAAATATTTTTTTCGAATGTTTGACATTATTTAATTAGTTTTCGCATGTTATCCTCATATGCATAACTCGACCTAATCACATAATCGAATTAAGGGTAATATTCTTTTAATTTAAAACTGTCAGAGTGACTTTTCTTAATTTACTGGAAAGTTGTTTTTGACGATTTTAAATTACAAGTGTATCCCAACTGTGACACCTATGAAATTGATTGATCATTTTAAAATTTGGGAATAGAAGAAAAATAAATGTTCGACTATTTAAATTTATCGAGAAAAGGTTGTTATAACTATTTAAGATCTGATCTTAATATTTTTAAATAATCGAATATTCTTTATCTTTCTAAAGGTTGGGTAATTTTAATTTAATCTATTTTGGTGCTTTTGAATATTATAAAATTCATATGTTGTTTTTTTGGGATCAAAAATTAAATTAAAGTTGAACTTGTAAAATTCGTTGCAAAGACATTAATTAATCGACTAGGTACCAATTTAGGGCGCTGTGGGGTTGTTAATCCTTCCCCACACGTAACCGACTCCCGAACTCGGATTTTGATAACGCATACCTCAATTTGTTGTTTTAATTAAAATTAATTTTTATTTAAAATGACAACATTTTTGGGCGACTCCTCGAACCATACATTTTATTTTAAAAAGGAATCCCAAATTTTTCGAAACGAGAGGTTTTCTAAAATCACATTATTTTTAAATAAATTCAATCAAAAGAAATAAATTAAAATTTGGTGTGGTTTTCAAAATCACACCCTACATTTAAAAATCGTTTCGACAATTCTTGAATTGGATAGTTAGCAAACGGTCTTTCCAGTAACTAACCTTAACATCTAAACCTTCAGCTTTGAAAGCTGGTTTAATAACATTCTCGTCAACCCTGTTCTTAACTATACCAACCAAGCTACTTTCCTTCCAAGAAAGCTCACACTTAGAGATGATAACACTCCTACAATCCACAGAAGGAAAAGCAGAAGAACTAGCTTCACACTCATCAGCTACCCTAACATTAACAACTGCATCAGAACCGCTATGAATCTCAACCTTCTTACCAACACAATTCAGAACCGACAACCCACCTTCTGGCATCGCACATCCCTCAACCTCTTTAGACGACCTATCGACCCTAAAAGCTGGCTTCCAAACCTTGTGATGACTGCAAACCTCCTCTACCTTCTTACTACGACTATCCGACAAATATTCATGAAAAACTCTGATTTTGAAGCCATCCAACGTCATTCCATCAGCTCTCTTTACCGCCAAGATTGCTTCAAGTCTAGTACTGAACCTAACAAAAGCAAAAGTAGAGCCCAAGGATTTTCTTTTCAAACTCTTGTTTTTTTTATAATATTTTTACATTTAATTCTACGAAGAAAGGTTTTTGTAAAGATAAGATCATTGTCATGTTTACTTGATAAATTAAGCTTTCAATATTTTATAATATTTCGACATTTAATTATATAAAGAAAGATTAAAAAGAAAGAAAAAAACATTTCAAAGGATGAATTGTAATATTTGAAGTCAAAGGATGACACTAATATTTGAAGTCCAAATCATATATGATTAATTTAGGATTCAAAGGTACATCATATGGAACTCTGACATGATATAAAACTTGATCACTAAAAATATATCGTATCATATTATCAAGAACAAAAGATTAAATATGAAAGAGTGTTTGAGTTCATCCATAAACTGATCATCAAATTTACATCATATGTATTTTAAGGACCGCGACAAATACACGCTTTGATGTTCATCTTGAAATTTAAATTTTCTTCGACTAATTATCTATTATATCAATCAATTCCATCTTGAAATTTCATTTGTGTCCATCATGCACAAATATTTTACGATGTTAATATATATGTTCTCATCTTTAAAATTATTTTTGGATCTGATGTTACTATAGATGACAACCTTAATAAATAAAAATTCACATAAGTCTTAATTTCTAATTAGTCTATTATCAATTTGATAGTGATAACTTCCGCATTACTGGCATCAGAAGCAATTAAATTCTTAAGGACCCTAATCAGAATCACAAAGTAAGAGTAGTTTTCAATTTGGAAATTTACCAATGCATTTGGAAGTCAATATTGTGAAGTTGCATCTGCATACACAAACAAAGATTAAAAGAAGTGAACAGTCCCTCCATCCCCTTGTTCACCACCAACATAGCAAAATCTTCTTTTTTATATCACAACTCATCACATCACTAATGCTCTAACTCTCTGCATCCACATAAAATACATGAACACCCCATTTCATCCTTTCATATTGTCTACCAAGTTGATCATTGTTGTAGATCTCAAATGATGCCTCCTCATAATCATTGTCTCTTATAATCATATCCTTATTAAACACAATGCACACATGATGACTGTATATGTCGCCCCAGTCCCATCTCCAAGAAACGCGACTCTCTGTCATGAACTTTTCACCACTGGCAGCTGTCAGTTGGTATTTACATATAAATCCAACATCTACATCTCCGTCTGCAAACCAGAGATTAGCCAAAAAGCATAAAGCAAATGCCAAGAATCTGCTCCCACTACACCCATTTGGAGCTATCTTTAAATTTAACCAAGGATTCACGCTTCGATGCTCAAACTCATTTGCTGGAACTTCATATCCTGGGAAACAACAAAAAAATTGATTTCCTAAAGAACCCCTCCCTTGCCTCCTTGCCCATCTCTGAGCTAGGGATTGAATTTGAAGCACCGCGTTTCTCTCAATGTTTTTAATTGAATCTTGATTCAGGCTTAAGCAATTAAGGAATGACATGGACACCTTTTCATCACGAGGAGTGTCATCACCATCATGTAAAGAAAAGAATGAACTGGAATTATGATCGGTGAAGGATACTTTCTCCAATGAGTAGCAACGATTTGCATTCAAGCACAGCAGATATGGTGGAAGCTCTGAGAGTGTTATAAACCTTTCGCACTCCTCAAGTTCCAAAACGTTAAGGGATTCCAACTTTGAAATATTGCTCGATAAATTTTCCACCCTCCAGTGACTTAAACTCAACTTTCTAAATCCGACAAGATGCTGAATCGAATCCGACACTTGTTCTATTCCAGTGTATCTTAAATCTAAGTCAGACAAATTATTTGGGAGCTCTTTGAGAGATGCCAAATGGTTGAAGAAAGGTAGTTCAACCAAACTTGTACAGTATTTGCACTTAAGTGATTTAAGGTTGATGGCTCCAAATGGATTAGGAATCTTCCTTAAATTCTTGCAACCAGAAAGGTCAAGGCTTTCAAGAGATACCAACTGGTTGAGGGAAGGTAGTTCAACCAAACTTGTACAGTATTTGCACTTAAGTGATTTAAGGTTGATGGCTCCAAATGGATTAGGAATCTTCCTTAAATTCTTGCAATAAGAAAGGTCAAGGCTTTCAAGAGATACCAACTGGTTGAGGGAAGGTAGTTCAACCAAACTTGTACAGTAACTGCACTTAAGTGATTTAAGGTTGATGGCTCTTGATAGATTAGGGATCTCCACTAGACTCTTGCAATAAGAAAAGTCAAGGCTTTCAAGAGATACCAACTGGTTGAGGGAAGGTAGTTCAACCAAACTTTCACACCCACTGCAGCAAAGGCTTTGAAGGTTGATGGCTCCTGATAGATTAGGGATCTTCCCCAGACTCTCGCAACCAGAAAGGTCAATTGACCTTAAGTTAACAAGATCCTGTACATTGAAAATATAAAATAATTGCATTATCCACTTATTTTGGATGTATCGAAAATAAAAACAAAAACATGAAATACCTGATTATCTTCCTTCCAAAGTTGTTCTATGATGCTCTGTCTTAGTTTCAACACAACAAGATTCTTTGGATTAAAATTTGATGATAAGCATTTCAAGGGACAAAGGACCCAACGAAGATACCTTAGCTCATCAGAAAAAGATACGCTATCAACTCTGTCTACGGGAAGTTGTTGAAACAATAACGAAGGACGTGTAGAAAGGATGATATATCTAAGATTATGCATCTTCTCAAAACCAGAATATAGTAACGGCTGGTCTTCACGTCGACTCACGAAAAGCTTTATTCCTTCAATTGATTTATTCACCTAATAACAAGAAGCAATATAACGAGTTTCGTTACAGACAAAATTATGAACGTTTCATTAAAATTACTCACTATAAAATATAATTATACCAAGAAACGCTTAGACTAATCAGACATATCTTTTTATTACTGAAATTTTTAGACAATACAAATACGTTCTCTTTTTTATAAGCAACGAATTAGGTATTTCACTAACACAGTAAATAAATATTGTACTTTTTGAAATGATAGTTAAAATATTTGAAACAATTTGACAGATAACAACATATAACTAAATTAGTTTATATATTGACATTATATCAAATATAAATTTCAATTAAAATCACACAAATATGGAAGGAAAAAAAAAGGAATATAGATACAACTAATGCTTACTTTATTATATTTGAGCACTTGGATCATGTCTTTAAGACTCCATAACCTACTGCGCTCTCCAGGATCTCTAGATTCTCGGCGAACAATGTCTTTTCCCATCCCTTCAAGCATATCATGCATACAAATCACCCCTTTGGAATCCACTTCAATTAGACACTTATCAAGCAAATCGCTTATTCCACACATTGCACCCTCATACAAGCAACTTAGAATTTCTTCTACTTCTTTCTTGGTTTCTCCTTTCAAGAGGCATGCAATGTCAAGAAATATATTCTTCTCTTGTTCATCCAACTCGTCAAAACTAATCATCAAAATCTGTGAAATCTTTGGTTTTGCATATTCCTTGAGCTTGTCGACCTCACTTTCCCACTCTTTTCTAGACTTTGTATATAGTTTAGAACCCAAAACTTTAAGAGCAAGTGGACTGCCTTGGGCGTACTCCACAAACATGTTCGATAGATATCGAAAATCTGGAGCAGGATTCAACGACTTAAATGCAAATGTAGAAAAGAGTTGAAGAGAGTCATCCTCGTTTAACTTATTCACCTTATGTATTTTGTCAGCTCCTCCATTCGTAAGTACTTGCCTATCTCTGGATGTTATGATAATTTTACTTCCACCACCAAAATGTTTTACACCCATAAGATCTATCTGCTCCGAGTCACTAACATCATCAAGGACGACGATTACTTTTATATTATTGAGCCTCTGTTGGGTTAAGACGGATCCTATGGAGGGGGTGTCTACACAAGTTTTCGAGTTCAATAGTTTGGAAAGAAGTTCATTTCGTAAAGATTCCTTCCCCTGTTTTTCTATTTTCTCTCTAACATCTTGAAGGAAGCAACGACATTGAAACGTTGGAGAGATTTCATTATAGACAGCTTCAGCAAGGGTAGTCTTGCCAATACCACCCATTCCCCAAAGTCCTATTATTCGACTATCTTCTTCCTCAATTAGCTGCAATATCTTTTTTCTCTGATCATCTATTCCAACTAATTCTTTAGAAACAATTTTAGACTTGCTATTCAATTCTTTTATGACATACTCAACGACGTTTTCGATGTATTCAGCCTCAGATCTGAGAAATCATTTTCACAAAGTAATAGTCAAAAGACATGTCGAATATAAGAAGATAAAATATGTATAGTGTCTATGGTTACCTATCGAGTTTGCCGCCTTGTATATGCCACCCTTTTAATTTGCCGATTTCAACAAAGGCATCTCTCCATCGATTCACTTCATCAAGTGGCCTATTCGATTCATGCTCTTCAAAGGATGCCTTAAAACTTCCAACAATGTTTCGGACATGAGAAGGATCAACATGGTAAAAGATGGGAAGAACAGTATGTTGTTGAGTTCCCTTGCGACCCATGATGTCACAGAGTTCGGCTAAGCATGATTTGGAAGAAGCATAGTCGACAGACAAGACGACTATTGAGAGATTTGAGGCTGCTATTGCTTGGGAAAGTGCCTGTGAAAGCTGCTCCCCTTTCTCAAGTTTATCTTCATCGAAGAAGACGTTCATGCCGGTGTCTTTCAGAGCTTTGAGGAGATGGCTGGTGAAGTTAAGGCGCGTGTCTTCACCTCTGAAGCTCAAGAAAACTTGATACTTCAATTGACTAGAAGAAGAAGAAGAAGAAGCCATGAAGACATAAGAGAATGATACTGTGATTGATAGACAGAGACAGGAGATAGCAAGAGAGCTTTGGTTTGAGCTGTTTTGAGAAATTGGACCAATAAATCAAGCACTTTCCTTGAAGTTTAATGAATGAATTGTGTGGTTGAGGCAAAAAGATCAAAATTGGCATATAAATCATCCATCATGCATGTGGGTGTGGAGCCATGAAATTAATCCATTTGAAAAGTCTTCAACCTGCTTTCCACTCTTTTGCATGGACCAATAAAATATGCGTGTGGACCATTGAAACCCCACCACAGTCGTTTTCTTCATTTCAAAAATCTTTATGCTGTATTCCCTCCAATTATTCGAACAAGCACTCAAATCTGAAGCTTTTGATTGGACCTATAAATCAAGCTTTTTCCTTGAAGTTTGATGGAATGAATCGGAGGATTCAAGGTAAAGAACCAATTTTGTGAATATTTAGAGATTTTAAGAATTGAAACGATCAACAAATTTGAAATCATTTTTAATTTTTTTAAGTAATCATTTTAAAGTTAGTTGTACATATTAAATCCATTTTGAATCTTTTAAAATAAATTAAAATTTTAACATTTGAATTTAAATAATTATACAAAATTGCACGAACCAAATGACCTCAGTGATTGATGGATGTTGTTATCTTAGAGATTTAGGGTTCAAACACCAACAATTGCATAATATCTAAGTATTCATTGTCAAATAATTGAAAGCAAACTCTATCACTTGTAATCACTCCATATTAATAAAAAATAATTTATAAAAAAAATAGAGCCTAAAAATAAATGAAAGTATAAACCAAAACAAAAAGAGTTTACAAATACTCTATGTGCGTGCTTAGCAAATGATCGCTTTAAGTTGATAGTCTCCAATGCAAAACGCATACAACAGATATATGTAATGGAGTGTCGATAAACTCCACCTCATCCAAGCGCCTGAACATATTCAGGCCCGTCCTTGAGCATGGCCAAATGGGGCACTCGCCCAGGCCCCTACTTGCTAGGGACTAAAACTACAAATTTATCTATAATTAAAAAAATAAATTATTTATTTAGTTACTCATTTATTATTTTATTTATGTTTTGGCCATTCAATTATTATTTTTCTTCAAAATCATAGTTACTGTTATATTTTGTTTCTTTTTTATTACTCATCATTAAAAAATTACCAGGAAATTAAAGTGACATTTTTAAATTATTTTTTCACTGTCACATCCCGAATCCTGAGTTAAATTAGAAAGTTTTTAAATTTTCTGTGCTTAATCAGGAATTATTAAAAGTTTAGGCCCCAAGGGTATAATTTACCCAATTTTCTTTTGGGTAGTTTGAAAACTCCCACTTTTTCTTTATCTTCTTTCTTTCTTTATTTCTTTCCTACTGTACGTGCTCTCTCTTCCACCAAACAGCTTCTCCATGATTTCATATTTCTTTTTAGATTTCTTCGATTCGTTGTTAATCGTGAGGAGGTCTGCGACACCTCTGGTACCCCATTGTTCGTCGTGTCATTTCCGTTCGTCCAGTGGTCTCCATTTTTTGTTTGGCACTGACGTTAGCTTTATCGGAGAAGAGGAAGTTTCGGGTATTTTTGTTGCACAAATCACCTTCGGACAGTGTCTCACGCACCCCATGCACCGTCGTGCGCGTGTGGGGAAAATTTTGGTTGTTCAAACCGACCAAAACGGTTAATTGTTAGATCGAACCGGTTGGACCGATTAACCAACCCGACTCGTTGACCGTTGATTTTGATCGTTGACAGTTGATTTTGACCGCCGACTATGATCCGTTGACTTTTTTCAAAGACCCTATTGTAACATCTCAAAATCAGGGTTAGTGATCAAAATGGAAGTTTTGAAACTTTGAGATATGATTTTAAAAGATTAAAAAGTTTAGGGACTTAATTAAAATAATTTGTGGAGGATTGTTAGTAAATATTAAATAAAGTAAAGGGTAAATTGGTCTTTTCATAAGAAAGATTTTTATCTTTCTTTTATGGGTGATATAACACGTGGAATGGGTAGGAAGATGGGAGATTTTCTCCAGAAAATTCTTCTTCTTTTTCTCCAGCCATGAGTAACCATAGCTAAGGTAAGTTGGTCTCAAGTTAGTTAATTCTTTCGTTTTAAAGTTGGTTTTTATTCTTGGAGTGATAGAAAAGCTTAAGGAAAGCTTAAGATTACTTAAAACTCAAAGAGGATTAAGTTATGTAAGATTGAAGGTAAAGAGTTTTTAAGGGAATTATTGAGATAAAGTTAGTAAATAAGTTTTGAAGTGAAATTTGACTTGTCAATGATCTAACTAAGAAATTCAGAGTGTTATAAATGAATTTAGAATATGTTGATTTATTAGCTTGATTATTGAACTCAAGTATAATAGTTACATATGGGATGTTATGATGAGTTGAAGTGAAATAAGTTAAATTGTGTATGTGTGGTTAAGTTTAAAGACATGAAAGAAGAGTAAAATAAGGAATTTAGCTGGGTAATGGATAATTTTTGGGTTTAAGGAGTGGATTTTGGGTTGGTAGTATTGGTACTAGTTGAATGAGTACTGATACTACAAGGCAAATTATGAGGAAATTACGCATGGAGTATCGGTACCTGTATGAACAGTATCGATACCAGTATGGAGGGTATCGATACCAGGAAACATCGAAGCTAATTTTGGTATCGATACTGGGGTAGGGTATCGGTACCCTAGCACTGAAGTATATATACTGTAATGGTAGTACCGATACTACTTAAGCTAAGAAGTAGAAATTAGTGCTTTATTTAGTTTCTTCGGTAAGAATCTTTTCAAGTAATTCAAATTACGATATTTATTGCATTGTGTATTCATGTAGATATCGATCGAGAGCATAGTTTGAACAAGTTGATAAGTAATAGTCATCGAGGAAAAGATAAAATATCGGTATTGACTAGTGAGGCCAGGTGAGTGCATCTTATTTTGAATATAGGATTATATGGAAATTGGACTTGCGATAAGTCTATTTCCTCTAAGTCTAGTGCATGAAGTCATGAAAATAAGTATGTGAATGATATGATTTATAGGTATGCATGAATATATGTATTGATATGTTGTGTATGTGCTACATAATTTATGTAAAATGAGTTGTGTGAACATGTCTGGTATATATATATGTATGTGAATATAAGAGAATAAAACATAAACTATATGAAAAGATATGATCCATATGATGTGGCATATGTGAACATATGAGAGAGTATATAAGTTATATGTACTACATGATATGAGTGATTTTACAAGAAATGATATGAGCTATGTGATACAAAGTTATGTGATTACATGATCATAAGAGATAAGACATGTGATAAGAGATATGTGAAATGAATGTGTGAATATGAGATAACATGAATGATAATGCCCATGTTATGTGTCATGAGAGCTAGAGGTATAGCTAGCATGCCAAGAGTCGAGGGTTCTACGTGGTCCTTCGGGACATATATGTAATCCTTTGGAACATATATGTGGTACTTCGGTACACTTATTTGGTCCATTGGAATATGTATATGATTCTTAAGGAGTGGTCCTTCGGGACATATGTGATATGTGGTCCTTCGGGACATAGTGGTCCTTCAGGACAAATTCTACTCCCCTAGTGGGGATTATACGAGTTGTGGTGACAGCATATGTGCACAACCTCTATGTACTGACATATCTTTGGTTCTCACATGTGTACATGGGCTAATAAAGAGATAACAATAAATACAATATATGTGATTTATATGCATTGTGATATGAAATGTGTTACAAGAATTATATGATGTTATATGTGTTATATAATGTGTATCAGTGATAAATACAATATCATATGATAAAAGAATTAACGATAATAATATGAATAAGGGTAAAAATATTAATGATGATATATGGGTGTGTATAAATTTGTTTATAAATAATATTATATGATATTATCTGATATTGTGTTTACTTTCTGGTTAAGAAGGTTACGTATAAGAGATATAAGTGATAACATGATAATGGAATATAAGTTAGGAGATATTGACATAAATGAGTACACAAATATGTTTAAATGAAATTAAGATCTAAACCTTATTATATTTCTATGTGGTATAAGGTATAGTACAAAGATTCAAGAAATTATATGATAAAGTTATAGGTATATAAGAAATATACTATAACGATTATGTGAAACTAGGATATAACCTATATGACATTGATATATGGAATATATGAAAATAAGTACATGATTGTGTAGATACATGAACATGTGATATAACTATGGGATAAAGAGGTATATATATTATATGATTTATATGAAGAGATAAGAACAATATATCAGTTATGTGAATATATATATATATAAGAGTATGATATAAGTTATATAATTGGTATAAATGTTAAGTACATGATTAAATGATAAGAGGGATTAATGAGAATAATATTGATAATTATAATAAAATTAATAATGATGATGAAAATGATGTATTTAGGATAATGATGATATGTGTGCATGTTTATAGTTGCTTATATTAATTGTTTTATGATGTGGGTGTATTGTATGAAATATGAAATATTATGCATTGTTAAGTATCTAGAGTTTCTAGTATATGTGTTTTATGTCTCACTAAGTCATCGACTTAGCGTGTGAGTGTTTCACACGTAGGTTTTAAGGAGATAGAGGAGCAAAGAAGAGCAAGACAGGTCAGTCTCTCCATCCCAAAGATCAGATCAGAAAAACATTTTGAATTATATGTATTTTGTTTTATTGAAAGTAGTTGGCATGTAATTTAAAATTTGGATCAAATAGGCTCTGATAAGTTTTGTAAAATCATATGTTTTATATAATAGAAATTATTATGTTTATAATGAATATCAAATGAAATTTTAGTCACTTTGTAAAAGTAAATACTTTGAAAAGTCAATGTGACACCTCGGACTCGGATCCGGGTCGAATCCGGGTTGGGGTGTTACATCTATCTTTATATTTTTTGACATCCTGAGTCCGTTTAGCCAAATTCTGACCCAAAAGTCCTATTTTACATCATTTTTCGTTTTAAGTCATAATTATGTTAAGTAAATTAT